AGATTTGATGTTTGTGATACACACACACACACACACACACACACACACACACACAAGCATTTCTATGTTTATGTCATCCCTTAAACGATATACAAGACTCTATGAAAGGTTGTAGCCTTTGGGAGGGAAATTAATTTCTTTTAAGAAGTACATACATTAGTTCAAGAAATCAATTAAATGCTATTTACAAATAAAATAAGCAACAACAATAACAAAAAACAATAGGGGGGAAAATGGATGATGCACCCTTAGGAGACTGTCTGACGAGTACGTTCCTTGACTCAGAGAAAACAGAACTGGGTTTAGCTTTCATCTTCCCAATTGCGTGCTTTGGTCTTGGATAAGTTATATAATTTCCATTTTCCCCTTTATTTACAAAATGAAGCTAACCAACGATATCTACATCCTGAGGTTATTTTAAAGAGGGAATGATAAGAAAACGTATAAAATCTCAACGTGCTGGCTGCTTGTCCTAGTGGTGAAGCCCTTGACTGCTAACTCAAAGGTCAGTGGTTCCTACCCACCAGCTGTCCCACAGGAGGGTACCAGTCTGCCTCTGTGAAAACGGGAGCCTTGGAAACCCTGGGAAGCAGCACGGCTCTGTCTCCTAAGATCCGATCGATCCCTATGGGTCTGAAACAACTCAGCCGCAGCGGGTGTGGTTTGATGGCTTATGAGCACCAATATCAGTCTATTGACATCTCTTTCCTGTAATCTTGAGGCCAAGATAATAACGTTGGGAGGGGGGGGATTAGTGGTCTATCTAGAATGTTAGCCATATCGCCTTCTCTGCTCCAAACTCCCTTGCAACTTAAATCTGGAAGGTGTGAGTAGAGCTATTTGTCACAAACATCTGCTGCTAATCCTCTCCTCTGAGCCTGAGTGATGCTTCTAACTCAGGCCAGAATTCCCTAGCCCATCCGCACTGAAAGTCACTGAGCCCTCTGAGACTGTTAGAGAAGGAGAGGTCGCAAAGAGATCTTCTTTCAGAAGGACTCCTGCAGGAAAGGAATTACTGTGTGGGTTTTTTGGCCACCGATCCTGTCCAATCCTTCCAGAAACTCATGTGGCAGAATCTCTGCGAAGCATTCTGTCTGCTGAGTGGATGTTACTGCGAAACATTGTGCAACGTGTTCTTTTTTTAATCTCCAGAAGAATGTCCCTTGCCTTTCTCTGACTGATCCTCTTGCTTCCCATCATGACAGTTGGAAGAAAAGTGGTAAAATAGTGTCATCTCTAGTCACCCCTTGTTAAACACAGCTGCCTTCCCCGTGTCAGAATAACCCCAGGCCAGGTAGCAAATATGGTTACCCAAACCACCAAGCAAATGTTCCTCCATTTTTAAAACATTGTGACCACACCAGTAGTTATTCTCATCACTCCCTCAGTGAAAATCTGCCCTGAAAGCAAGTAATTTTGAAAAGGCCCGAAGAACAAACAGAAATACTATTGCAGGGGAGGGGGAGAGAAAAAGTCATTTAGTGATGACAGACGTTACTGCTCACAGGAAGCTGACAGTATGGACTTGAAATTGGACGCTGAACTCTGTTCTTGTGACCTTGTGAGGGTTGATAACCAGCATGGTCCTTTGGTTTGTAACCAGCTAAAATCAGCACGTGTCTTCCTCAAACAGAAATGCTATTTTCCATAAAATACGAGTGGTATCCTTCAATCTGGTCATTGTCTGTGTGCCAAATAAACCTCTGACTTGATGAGGGGCCTATGCAGGCTTGAAAATTAGGAAAACTGTCTTTGTTTGCACGAGTTATAATAATTTAGGCATACTCATGGAGTTTTAAAAAGGTTTCGTACGTAAACTCTGTACTCATCTCCTCTCTTTTAGTGAGTTACACTCTGGTGCTTACTTGTCACTTGGAAACGATATACATGTTCTTTCAAATAGCAGCAGAGTTACCCATGGTAGACAAGCTTCGGGAGGGTTTACAAGAATATGTTAAACTAAGAAAGGCCAGGCAATCTACTTACCAAAAAAATAGCTAATGGAAACCTTATAGATGGCAAAACCTGTCGCACTCACTTACTTGAAAAGAGCCATTGCTAGCAGAGGTCTACAAATGGCATGCGCTGATGTCTAGCCTCCTGTGACTTCACAGGGGAAAAGGAGACTCAAACTCCAGGTCAGCCAAAGGCCATTCCTCATAAGGCAAAGGGCAGACAGTCCTCCACTCTCCAACCTTATTTACCCTATATTCTAAGACCAACTCTCCCTCCCACAGCACTCTACTCCTCTCCCGCAGAACTCTACTTCTCTCTTAGATTCAATAACCCATTACCATGGCCACACGGAGCTCACAGATGAGACTCAGGATTATGGGGTTCATAGAGTTGTTGTTCTTGTTGTCAGGTGCTAATGAAACCATCCTGACTCACAGTGACACTATGTACATCTGGCACCATAACACTGTCTCCTGGATCGAATAAGTTCAGTACAGGGATCCCAGAATCTAAAGAATGTGTTTTACTCCTGCTCTTCTTTCTTCATGGTAGTGAAATCCCCTATTCTTGCTTCTGAGTTGTCTCATTGTATACCTAGCACGATGGCAACACTGACCAAGCCCCATACTACAGTCCCATATATACTGCTTGTGGACTCACCTAATCATTTGGTGAGAGCTACAAAGATTATGAATAGAAAACCCCCAGAATGCTTCATCACAACAAGACATCGTATCTGGTTCATTAGAGGCCAGTGAGGGCTTGGGAGACCCTCAGTGGGGTGGACTGGTAAAACAGACATGTTGATGAACTGCAACATGCTGGTCATGTGAGGAACATGCAGGACTGGGCAACATCTCATTCTGCCGTAGTACGTATGAAGGCCAGGAGTAGGAGTCAGTTGAATGGCAGTTAATAACAAGAAGCTTTGTAAAAGCCATTATTAAAGGAAGAAAGATTGAGTAGCATCTTCACGCAATAACAACATAGGGCACATCTAAACTTGCTCTTAGTTCTTTCTAATGCAATCCTTAGGAAAAATCTCTGAGGAAACCAATATGAGGTAAGGGTTAGGGTGTGGAAATATGCTTAAACTCAACCTTTTTGGTAAGGGATGGAAAAATGTGCCCCCATCAAAATATGCATTTCTTAGAACCTATAAAAGTTACCCTATTTGGCGAAAAGTGATCTTTACAGATGTAATTATTTTAAGAATATTGAAATGAGGACGAGATTAGCATGATTATTGGGTGAGCCTAAACTACTGTGAAATGTTCTTATAGGAGAGAAGCAGGGGAACTCACACAAAACAGAAGGTAAGCACACAGAAGGAAAGGATATGAGAAGAGAGACGCCAGGATGGGCGTGATGTGGCCACAAGCGCGTGGATGAAAGAAGCCACCAGATGCAGGGACTAGGTCCTCTCCCAGAGCCTCCAGATGAGCAGCCTGACTAGGACCTTGCTCAAGCCTGATGGCACTAACTTAGGACTTGAACCTGCAAGAACTGTTGTTTTAAACACCAAGGTTTTGGAAATTTGCTTCCAAAATCACATGATCCTAAGGTGTCATTATTTTGCATCTTGGAGGTCAACTGAGAAATGGGAAATCGTACTAAGATCACGTAGCTACGTAGTAACAGATGGGCAAAAGGATGCCAACTCCAGTGCATTTTTCATTGCATGGCACTGAAATGCCATCGTTACCATCACCCCCACTCCCATCACCTAACTTTCCATGGACTTAGTCTCTAATGCCGGTTTCCATTCCAATTAACCACATGCCATTAGCGTCTTCAACATTTTAATTGCCATGTGTCACTTTTCTTGTGCTAGAACGATTCCAAACCAAACCCCAGGCTGCGGAGTCCACTCTGACTCGGCGGAACACCATAGAGGAGACGGAAACTGCCCCACTGAGTTCTAAGCCTGACATCTTTACGGAACCAGGCTGCCATGTCTGTCTCCTGAGTCCGCTGGCGGCTTTTCCCCCAACATTTCAGGTAGCAGTTGAGGGTTTTACCCACTGTACCACCATGGTTCATACTAAAAAGACTATCTTTGGTCAGTTCAACACTAATCTCTTATTAATAATGAATCAAGTGGGCAGATGAAAACGTGGAGAGATCCTTCGGTTGCATAGAGGGCACCACTCGCCAGTCCAGAAGCCAAACTGATTAGGTCAAATATGAGAAGATATGGTCAAAGGAATCGTATTTTCTAAACCCGTGAAA